GAGCCCATGGGAACCCCTGCAGTGTCAATGCAATCCAGCAACTTGGTTTGGTTTCAAGCATCCGGCCATTTTATTATGAGCACCACAGATGAGCGTTGCAACGGCACCGTATTATGCAGCCACAAAGTCACGTGCAGGCGAAGACAATGCTTGCGAAGCGCTGGCCGAGAAAGGGTGAACTACATCGCGGGGGGGGGGGGGGGGCTCAGAGGTGCCCCGGTTAATCCTTATTTACCCTTCCCACCAACAGGAGGAGAGGGGCGGCATTCCAGGAACTCAGAAGGCGGCAGGTTTCAAGCGGAGTCACTGGGGCGTGGCATGTGCCCGGCCTGCGGAACTCACCGCCACATGATATAGCCGAGGCGCCAGAGCTTAGCAGGATTCCAGCGAGGAGCCGGCATTTATTACGAGTATCCACGTGTTGCCATAGCGCCCGGGAGACCCCAGCCACGGAGCGGGACCCCCTTTTGCGGGGCACGATACAGCCGCTGAGCTATTTATATGGGCCCCGAACACCTCCCGAGTTCCACCCATCGGAGCTGCGAGGCAGCTGTAAGTCATGAGAGAGAGGAACAAACTCCCCCCCTCCCCGGGGCAGGTTACCCCCTCATCCGCCACGAGGTGTGGGTGGCCGCCCCTGAGGGGGCCGCCCCTTGACACTGCCAGAGACGGGCTACCGGATGTGATGGGCCCCCGGGCTGGCCAGCAAGACTTACTGGCGATCCAACACAGGGGTAGGGTTTGTAACCGGGTTTGGGGGGGCCCTGTTCCGCTGGGTGTTGCACAGACACCCCAAAATGAGGTCAGCACCCCCCCCCCATGAGATCATGCCAGGTGTGCACTGACCCCCCACCCCACCCCTCGCTTGACCGAGAGCGGGCCCCCATCCTGCGCTGACCGCCCCCCCAGTGAGAGACAGTCCCCGCCTGGGGAGCTCACGGACGGACGATTCTCCCCATTGTACAGAGGGGAAAACTGAGACACGGGGCTATGAAGCGACTTTCCCAAGGCAACACGGGAAATCTGTGGCCCAGCCAGGAAGGGCAGAGCAGACCCCACATCGCCCAGGGATGGCTCAATGCCAGCCCCAAAATACCAGGGTATCAGGGTCACGCCCGGATCCAAGATCGCGGGGCAACCCTATCATTAGTCATAATTATTATTCATTATTAATTAATTCATTAACCTGGGCCTCCACAGTGCTGGGGGCTGAGACGCAGCTGCCTTTGGGGACTAGGTATACAGGGACCCCCTCGCCTGACACTGAGATGCGTCCACCCCTGAGGTGGGGCATCAGGGCTGTTTATACTCACTTTCACGCTAAACTTCCAGTGGGACTAGAACCCACAACTCCCCCTCTGCTGCTAAAGAACCTCCTGGAGGATCCCCGCCTGCTCCTGGCAGTGCGGGGCCAATGACACACAACAGGCAGTGCCGAGGGTGTCCAGCAGGGGGCATCCACGCCCCTCCAGCTGGTCTCCCCTCATGGCACTCCAGTGCATCACAGGGCAATGGAGCCAGGTCTAGCATAGTGTGGGGGCGTCGCCCCCCTGTGGTAAGTGACGGTTGGGCTGCTCCCATGCGGACATCACCAGATGCAGCTGCTGGTGCTTCAGGCCCACAAGTTTGGGGTGGGGGTGGGGGGTCACCTCCTGCTGCTGCTAGTACATCTGTGATGTGGGGTGGGGGACAGGCCGCCCCCTTCTGCCCCCCTCCCCCGGCGGACCAGGGTTTTAAACTCTTAATATATGAATTAAAATGGATATAAAATAATATTAAAATTCTGTCTAAGGGGCTGCAGGGACTCAGGGTGGGCCACAGAGTCACACAGCAGGTTGAGTGGAGTCCTGGCTCCCATCCCTGCCCTGCCCTAACCATTAGACCCCACTCCCCTCCCAGAGCCAGGGACAGAACCCAGGAGTCCTGGCTCCCAGCCCCATGGCCTATCCACAGGACCACTCTGCTCCTCTATTAATGAAACATACGTGTGTCTGACCCTCTCTTCAAATCTCCAGCTTTTTGCCTCAGCCCCATCCACTGGCAGGGAGTTCCGCAGGTTAATTCCATGTTTCCGTGAAATGCTAATTACTGGCTCTGGGCCCAGTCATCTGCCTGCTCAGGCAGTGGTAGCTCAGCAGGGAAAAGGCCGCCCCGACGCCTGGGTTCTGTGCCAGGGCAGCGGGGTATATAGACCCCCATCTGCAGCCTCCACACTGCATGGGGAGGGAGGGGGGGAATGAGATTGAGCCCCACAGGGTTGAGGGGCTGCTGCCCGTGTGCCACCTGCAGCCTGCAGTACCCTCTGTTGCCACACGAGGGCACCACGTGGCAGGGACAAGGGTGCCCAGAGCTGGAGGGGTCGGGGGGCGATGCTCCACGTCCCGGCACCTTCACTGGGCCGGGGCCCAGAGCTGGGGGAAGGGAGAGAGGAAAGAGTGGGTTCAGAACATCCCTGAGACATGCCAACATGCTTAGAACACGCCTAAAACATGTGAACATTTCCCCCCTCCCCTCAACCATTCCAGGCAGGCCATCGACCCAAAACCCCTGCGGCATCTTTGGCTGCGTCCCCACAGGCCCGGGGGTCAGGGCTCGGGCTCGGGCTCGGTCCAGCTGTCCTGGGCTCTGCACCATCACTCAGACAATCAGCACAGCTGGGGACGTGGGGGCGGGCAGGGCTGGGCTAGCAGGGGGCTGCGGGTCGGGGGTGAGGGGCACCGGTGGAGCTGTGGGAGGGGGGAAGCCTGGGGCTGGGCTAGCAGGGGGCTGTGGGTGGGCGGTGAGGGGCACCGGTGGAGCTGTGGGAGGGGGGAAGCCGGGGGCTGGGCTTGCAGGGGGCTGTGGGTCGGGGGTGAGGGGCACTGGTGGGGCTGTGGGAGGGGGGAAGCCGGGGGCTGGGCTGGCAGGGGGCTGTGGGTCGGGGGTGAGGGGCACCGGTGGGGCTGAGTTCTGTTCTGCAGACTCACCTAGGAGAGGAGATAACGGGTCAGCAGAGAAATCAGGAGGGTTGCCCCAAATCCACCTGCAACACAAAGACACCGTGGGAGAGGAAAACATTACTGCTCTCGCCCTCTTCCCCTCCCCGAGCCGGGGAGAGAACCCAGGAGTCCTGGCTCCCAGCCCCCCCTGCGTTCACCACTAGCCCCCACTGGCTCTGGGCTCCGAGCTGAGTCAGCTGCTGCTCTGAGCCACCTACCCGAGTTGCCGGGGGGTTGTCTCCAGGCGCCGCTGGGGTCAGAGCGCTGCCCGTCACTCTGGTTCCTGACCAGGAGGTTCCCAGGACTAGCTGTAGGTGAAAAGCAAGCGTGTGAGAGAGGCCCCATTTGGACAGGGTCAATCCTCCGGTCATTCAGCAGGGGGCGCTCTCTCCCGGGCTGGCCCCAATTCCCCAGGGGGGCGCTGGGCTACAGGGGGAGGAAACAACCAGGAACCACTGGGACAAATTCAAAGAGCTAAACCAAGTGAGGCTCACCTGTGTAGTGCGTCCTTCTCTCCTTACCCTGGGGAACAAGGAGAATATAATCAGGATTGACATCCCCCCCGCTCTAACCACTAGTCCCCACTCCCCTCCCAGAGCCAGGGAGAGAACCCAGGAGTTCTGGCTCCTAGCGCCTCCCCCCCCAACCACTTGTCCACACTCCCCTCCCAGAGCCAGGGAGCGAATCCCAGAGCCAGGGAGCGAACCCAGGAGTCCTGACTCCCAGCCTCCCAGCTCTAACCCACTACAGCTTCCCCATTTTCTATCTGCTGCCCCCCATCCCCCTCACCGTTGCGTCGAACACAAGCAGGGTGAGATTTATGCAGCTTGTCACAGAGATTCCCCATTCGCCCACGTCCAGCACGGAGGGGAGATGCTGGCTGGGCGGGTAGGTGGCGATCGTCGTGTTCTGGGGGGGCAGAGATGGACCCAGTCAGTGATCAGGGACCTGCCTCCCTCTACATGTCGTGGCCACGTGCCCGGGGACAATGGGCTGCCGTTCATGACCTCTCCCTGGAGTCAACGGGGAATCGCTCTCCTCTGGTTGAGGTCTGGGGGGCTCTGACACACAGCTGGGCAGTTCTGGATCCATCCAGTAGGGGGCAGCAGGGACACACACACACAGAGACACACAAACACAGACACTCTTTTGTCCCATGTTAGATGCTGCTGCCCCATGCTCCACCCCAGAGACAGCTGCATCTCAGCACCGGGTGAAGGGTTCCCGTATAACCCACCCCTGCCACACCCCAGAGAGGCCGCGGCTCATCAGCTCCGTGCTCCGGAAAAGCTCACCCCATACACCCATTGCATCTTCCTGTCTCCTTCCCCGGCGTCCGGCGGGAGGTCGATCCGGTGCGAGGGAGCGCCGGCCTCGCATGGGTAACTGCGCGTCTCCTCCTGGACCGTAGCCACTGCAAGGGTGAAGAAGCCCAGGCGTCGTGGGGGGGCCCTCAAAAGCGATCATGCAGCAGGGAAAGGGGTAAGAAAGCAGGCCAGGGCGCTCCCAGGGACGAGCAGCCAATGGGCATCTCTCCTGATGACTCCCAGGGCGAAGCTCTGGACCTGCTCCCTACGAAGCCAGGCAGGACTCTGGGGCAGTCGCCTTTCTGTGAGCAGCCTGTCTTCAGGACACACAGCTCCCCCGGCTCCACCTTCCTGGGTCTGACCTCAGAGCATTCAGCATCCCCTGCCCCTCCGTGTGCTTCCCACAGCGAGTCCGCCCAGGCGGGGTCCTGGGGAAGCCAGAGGGTCCTGCCCCCCAACTCCGCAGTCAGACGTGACTCTCAGCCAGCCAGTAAAACAGAGGTTTATTAGACAACAGGAACATGGTCTAACACAGAGCTTGTGGGTGCAGAGAACAGGACCCCTCATCTGGGTCCATTTTGGGGGGGCAGTGAGCCAGATAACCACGTCTGCCCTTCACTCCAACTCCCTCCAGCCCCTCCTCCTTTGGGCTTTGTCCCTTTCCAGGGCCAGGAGGTCACCGGATTCCTTTGTTCTCCAACCCTTTAGCTCTCACCTTGCAGGGGGGAAGGGCCCAGGCCATCAGTGGCCAGGAAACAGGGTGTCGGCCCTTCTCTGTGTCCAGACCCCTGCACACACCTGCCCTCTAGGGCTCTGCAAAGATCATACACCCTTATCCCACCCCCTAGATACTTAAGAACTGCATTGGGGAAACTGAGGCATCCCCACACTATTCAGAGGAAACATTAAGAACAGTCCCACTTGTCACATCTCTCCCTCCTTCGGATCGAACTGAGCGGGGTCACTTTAGCCAGTGACCTGGGGAAGTTCGAAGCCACCAACGTTCCCATGGATGCCCCAGCATCTCTCCCATTCCTTGGTAGGAGTTACACCAGGCCCTTCCAGTTTCACGCCCTCCCTTAGGTCGGGGGTGATCGATAACGCTCGCAGGCCACATGTGGGAAGGTTTATGTGGCCCGTGCCCTTTGGCCACCCCAAAACCCCAGGGGGTCAAACTGGGATTGGGTCTTCTCCCCAACAAGCTGGCCAAACACAGCCACTTGGTTATAGGACTATTTAACTTTCTTAACAGCTTTCACCCTGTCTGAGACCTTCTCAAAGCTCTCCACACTGGATCTTTCAACAGGAAAGTCAGTGGATCCATTCACAACAGAAAATTTCTGCCATTAGGAACTGAAACTTTCTTGATTAAATCACTTTCACACCCTTCAGTTGTCAGTAAACTGCTTGCAAAGACTCCATGAGGATTCCTTTCCCTAGGGGCTTTTCTATGCAACAATTCACCCCTCACAGAAATTCTGCTCTTACCCTCTTCACCTAGGGCTTGCTCTAGAGGGACACTTTCCTGAGCAACAACAGACTCTTTCTGGGTCTCCCTTACATCCAAAATTACCTCTGGCCCATCCGGCGGATTCCTACACAATCCCCTTTCAGGCAAACTTACAGACTTTTAGATAAAAGGTCAGAAGCATTCTCCTTCCCTTTGCCACACACAAGTTCAGGAATCTTTTCCTTCTTGCTACAGGTTTCCACACCCTCAGTAGGTAACACAATCACATCACCTTCATGCTCTCCTTGTGCCCTGGCTAGGATCTCACCCTGATCAGACAGAGTTGCTACACCCTTTCCCAACAACACACTAGCAACAGGCAAAATACAAGCACCTGAATTGTCTGGTCTCTGGGATTTTACATAGACCCTAACTGGATGCAACCTAGTTACACGGCCATTCTCCCGAGCAGACACAAACTTAGGACCATTCCCTTCCTGGACTTTAGCTGAATCCAGAACCAACTCTGAGACAACTGCACGACCCTCAACCATCACAGGCTGAAAGGCCCCTTCTGTCTGCTCCACAGACAAAGAAGAGCCAGACACACTTTCTCCTTTCCCAGACACACAGCTTGGGATCTCATTCCCCTTGTCCCAGCACACAAGGCTGGTCACAGACAACTGCTTGGAGATCAGGGTAGCTCCCTCCATAGGCAAGTCAATACCCCTGACACACACAGGCACATTTCCTTCACTGTCCCAATTCTCCACCCAGCTAACAGGTACGGTCCAGGGACACTCATCTTCCACTCTCCTCGCCTTCCCACCCTACTGACTGGACAAAGCCATTGTGACGAAGTGGGACTGTTCTTAATGTTTCCTCTGAATAGTGTGGGGGTGCCTCAGTTTCCCCTAGGCAGTTCTTAAGTATCTAGGGGGTGGGGTAAGCATGTATGATCATTGCAGAGCCCTAGAGGGCAGGTGTGTGCAGGGGTCTGGACACAGAGAATGGCTGACACCCTGTTTCCTGGCAACTGATGGCCTGGGCCCTTCCCCCCTGCAAGGTGAGAGCTAAAGGGTTGGAGAACAAAGGAATCAGGTGACCACCTGGCCCGGGAAAGGAACAAAGCCCAGAGGAGGAGGGGCTGGAGGGGAGTTTCAGTTTGGGGCTGGCTGGGACATGGAGTGAAGTGCAGACGTGGTTGTCTGGCTCACTGCCCCCCAAAATGGACCCAGCTGAGGGGTCCCGTTCTCTGCACCTGCAAGCTCTGTTTTAGACCATGTTCCTGTCGTCTAATAAACCTTCTGTTTTACTGGCTGGCTGAGAGTCACGTCTGACTGCGAAGTTGGGGTGCAGGACCCTCTGGCTTCCCCAGGAGCCCCGCCTGAGCGGACTCGCTGGGGGAAGCACACGGAGAGGCAGAGGATGCTGAATGCTCCGAGGTCAGACCCAGGAAGGTGGAAGCCGGGTGAGCTGTGTGTCCTGAAGACAGGCTGCTCACAGAAAGGCGACTACCCCAGAGTCCTGACTGACTTCATGGGGAGCAGTTCCAGAGCATCGCCCAGGGACTCCGTGACAGCCATCAGCTCACAAGGCTGCCTAGGCTCATCCAGACTTTCCTTACCAAGCACCTTGCCGCTCCCCACAGATCCCCTGCCCTGCCTGTGTCTCCCCCCACTCAGCTGGGGTCTTATCTCCCCCCTTGCTCAGCACTGCCCTGGCTGTCCCAGTGGGGTAGGCAGCGAGCTCGCTGCTTTCGGGGTGCAAGGGGGCAGGGAGCATCTCTCTGTCCCACCCAGCCCCAGGGGTCTGGTCACAGGCAGGCAGGTAGCCTGAGCCTAGCCACTCCTCCCGCCTGCCAACCAGGTCATCTGCGTTTTCACTGACCATTTCCCTCTCCACCGATTGGTTCCCTGGATTCAAATTCAAACCCTTGGCTGTTACCGGAGCAGGGCCTGGATCCTGTCCCAAAGAGACACAGTCACCCCACAACAGGGTCTCGCAGCTGGTATCCTGGAGCACCCCAACAACCAGCCAGCCCCACCCCTCCTGGGTCTGCATAGGGATCTGGGCCATAGGCAGGGCGAGGGGCTTCATCCCTGGGACCCTCACCCAGCTCACCCAGCCCCTCAGCCTCTGAGGCTGCATCACCCAGGGCCTGACTCCAGTTCTCTCTGTCCCAGGATCTCACCACCCCAGGAATATCTCCCCACTGACCATCACCTTCTGCTCCCACTGGGGGTCTGAGGGGCCTGGCCCCAGGAGACTCCACACAGACATATAGGTTGGCGTCAGGAGTGGGAGCCTGTCCACCTCCCCACCCATCTGGCTGACGGAGTCTGTGGCCTTGGGACCCAGCAAGGGAGCTAGACACCGGGGCTTTTCCGCAGGGTCCCCCTGGTTCAAATCTCCAGCCGGCTCAAAGGCAGTGAGGTGGCATCCACATCCCCCCCTCCTTAACCAGGGGCAGCAATTTCGTCTCAAGGTTCCCTGCGGAACTGGCCCCCCGGGGTCTATCCCCACTCACCCCTGGGAGGTCCCCTAGGCCTCTCCGCTCCCCCACCGCCAGGTCATGCTGCTGCTGCTTCTGCAGCTCTTTCTCGGACACTCGCTGTCTCTCACAGTCCTCTTGCTCTCTCGGACTCAGCTCCAATCCCGTCCGTCTCCGATCCCCCGATGGGGAACCCGATCGTGAAGACCCTCGTCTGGTTGGGGACAGGAGTCTTGGGGGTGCCTGGCTCCCACTCCAGCTGCTCCCAGATCCTGCTATAGCCCCATTTGGGGTCAGAAATCTGTCCCTTAGAGCGGTCATCCTCCTCCAGCTGCACGATTAACTGTGCCTTGGTGAACTTTCCAATGCTCAACCCTCTCTTTCTGCACAGGGTTACAATGTCCTTCTTAAGGAGACAGTGACAGGCCGTCACTCTGCTCTTCCCAACTTGTTGTGGACTCACAGGCCTGTTGCTCTCAGCTCCCCACAGTTTCCAGGGAGAACCTCTCGTGTGCCAGCCCTTCTCGAGGTCACCACCTCTTTGCCAGGGTCGAGCTGCAGACTCCTCCGCCTCTGGGACTGCTCGCTGCAATCCCCCAGGGGACCCTGTTACTGCAAAAGTCCTTCTCTCTCCCAGGGCCAAGCTGCAGGCTCCTCCGCCCCTGAGACTGCTCACCGCAGTTCCCAGGGGGACCCCATTACTGCACAGTCCTTCACGGTGGTCACACACTCCCAGGGGTTAACCACCCCCCGAAACCGCTCCTCTCTGAGCCTTCAGCACGCCTGGTCCTCATCAATCCCCCTTCGTTTTACTGCTCCCCAGTCACTTACTGCAGGAAGCGCCATCCATGGGGAGCAGTACATCCCACCCCTGACACCAGTTGTCACGGAGTCCCTGGGCGATGCTCTGGAACTGCTCCCCACGCAGCCAGGCAGGACTCTGGGGCAGTCGCCTTTCTGTGAGCAGCCTGTCTGCAGGACACACAGCTCACCCGGCTTCCACCTTCCTGGGTCTGACCTCGGAGCATTCAGCATCCTCTGCCTCCCCGTGCGCTTCCCCCAGCGAGTCCGCCCAGGCGGGGTCCTGGGGAAGCCAGAGGGTCCTGCACCCCAACTCCGCAGTCAGACGTGACTCTCAGCCAGCCAGTAAAACAGAGGTTTATTAGACGACAGGAACATGGTCTAACACAGAGCTTGTAGGTGCAGAGAACAGGACCCCTCAGCTGGGTCCACTTTGGGGGGCAGTGAGCCAGACAACCCCGTCTGCCCTTCACTCCATATCCCAGGCAGCCCCAATCTGAAACTCCCTCCAGCCCCTCTCCCTCTGGGCTTTGTCCCTTTCCTGGGCCAGGAGGTCACCGGATTCCTTTGTTCTCCAACCCTTTAGCTCTCACCTTGCAGGGGGAAGGGCCCAGGCCATCAGTTGCCAGGAAACAGGGTGTCGGCCATTCTCTGTGTCCAGACCCCTGCACACACCTGCCCTCTAGGGCTCTGCAATGATCATACACCCTTATCCCACCCCCTAGATACTTAAGAACTGCCTAGGGGAAACTGAGGCACCCCACACTATTCAGAGGAAACATTAAGAACAGTCCTGCTTCATCACACACACACCCCAGTTCAGCTGGCATTTCATTGGCTGCGTGCACGGTCACAGGGCAAGCGGCGGGAGGGGGTGGGAGCGTGCACCAGGCCCGAGCAAAACCTTGTGCACAAGAGAGAATGTGTGCAAAAGCCGGGGGGAGGAGGCTGCGCAGAGTGTCCCTCCCAGCTCTGCCAGTGCCCCTCACTCCCGACCCGCAGACCCCTGCCAGCCCAGCTCTGACCCCGTCACCAGCCCTGTCGGTGCCCCTCACTCCCTACCCGCAGCCCTCTGTTAGCCCAGCCCTGGGCTCCCCTGTTGAGTGTGCGGACGTGCGAGTGGGCGCACGTGGGTGCCTAGCTCTGCAGGGCCCTGGCCCGACATCCGGGTGCCGAGGCCGGGGAAGGGGGGAGAAGCAGCCAAGCAGCTGTGGGTTGGCTGGGTGCAGGGTGGGACACTGCCCGTCTAATCCGAGGCCCCTCATGTGTGTTTCCGTGACACAGACACGCCCGGGGCCCAGGGCTCAGCTCCGGGGCTCTGCTCCGAGCTGCACTTTCAAACCGCCCGCAGGATTTGCATGAGGTGTTGCAGAATGAATCACTTTCCTCTGCCAGGCTGAGCCCTGGACACCCCAGAACAGGGGCAGGGAGGGAGAGCTCCCCGAAATACATGCACCCCGAGCCAGCCAGTCCCTGCCCTGGGGCTGGGTGGGAGCCGGCGCCCCCTATCGGGGACAGGCCCCGCGCCCCATTCCCTGCCCCCCTGAGCCAGCCAGTCCCTGCCCTGGGGCCGGGTGGGAGCCGGTGCCCTAGAGGGGACAGGCCCCGTGCCCCATTCCCTGCCCCTCTGAGCCAGCCAGTCCCTGCCCTGGGGCCGGGTGGGAGCCGGCGCCCCCTATCGGGGACAGGCCCCGCGCCCCATTCCCTGCCCCCTGAGCAGCCAGTCCCTCCCTGGGGCTGGGTGGGAGCCGGCCCCCTATGGGGACAGGCCCCCGCCCCATTCCCTGCCCCCTGAGCCAGCCAGTCCCTGCCCTGGGGCCGGGTGGGAGCGTGCCTAGAGGGGACAGGCCCGTGCCCCATTCCCTGCCCCTCTGAGCCAGCCAGTCCCTGCCCTGGGGCCGGGGGGGGGGGGCCCCTATCGGGGACAGGCCCCCGCCCCATTCCCTGCCCCCTGAGCCAGCCAGTCCCTGCCCTGGGGCTGGGTGGGAGCCGGCGCCCCCTATCGGGGACAGGCCCCCGCCCCATTCCCTGCCCCCTGAGCCAGCCAGTCCCTGCCCTGGGGCCGGGTGGGAGCGGTGCCCTAGAGGGGACAGGCCCCGTGCCCCATTCCCTGCCCCTCTGAGCCAGCCAGTCCCTGCCCTGGGGCCGGGTGGGAGCGGTGCCCTGAGGGGACAGGCCCCGTGCCCCATTCCCTGCCCCTCTGAGCCAGCCAGTCCCTGCCCTGGGGCCGGGTGGGAGCCGGCGCCCCCTATCGGGGCAGGCCCCGCGCCCCATTCCCTGCCCCCTGAGCCAGCCAGTCCCTGCCCTGGGGCTGGGTGGGAGCCGGCGCCCTATCGGGGACAGGCCCCGCGCCCCATTCCCTGCCCCCTGAGCCAGCCAGTCCCTGCCCTGGGGCCGGGTGGGAGCCGCCCTAGAGGGGACAGGCCCCGTGCCCCATTCCCTGCCCCTCTGAGCCAGCCAGTCCCTGCCCTGGGGCCGGTGGGAGCCGGCGCCCCCTTCGGGGCAGGCCCCCGCCCCATTCCCTGCCCCCTGAGCCAGCCAGTCCCTCCCTGGGGCTGGGTGGGAGCCGGCCCCCTATCGGGGACAGGCCCCCGCCCCATTCCCTGCCCCCTGAGCCAGCCAGTCCCTCCCTGGGGCCGGGTGGGAGCCGTGCCCTAGAGGGGACGGCCCCTGCCCCATTCCCTGCCCCTTTGAGCCAGCCAGTCCCTGCCCTGGGGCCGGGTGGGAGCCGGTGCCCCCTATCGGGGACAGGCCCCGCGCCCCATTCCCCGCCCCCCTGAGCCAGCCAGTCCCTGCCCTGGGGCCGGGTGGGAGCCGGCGCCCTAGAGGGGACAGGCCCCGTGCCCCATTCCCTGCCCCTCTGAGCCAGCCAGTCCCTGCCCTGGGGCCGGGTGGGAGCCGGCGCCCCCTATCGGGGACAGGCCCCGCGCCCCATTCCCCGCCCCCCTGAGCCCGCCAGTCCCTGCCCTGGGGCCGGGTGGGAGCCGGCGCCCTAGAGGGGACAGGCCCCGTGCCCCATTCCCTGCCCCCCTGAGGCCAGTCCCTGCCCTGGGGCCGGATGGGAGCCAGAAAGGCCCCGGATCCCATTCCCCAGAGGCTCCTTCAGCCCCCAGGGTGGGGGTCGGTGATAGTTCCTCCCACGCACTCTGGGGTGGGGGCGGGGGAAGGAGTTGTGGGGAGCAGAGACAGGGCTGCAGAGGGGCAGGTTGCAAGTCCCGCAGCAGGAAGGGGGGCGCTGCACCCAGGTCTGGGGTGGCGCACCCAGCTGGCTGCAAGGGGCTGAGGCTGAGCAGTGCACAAGCCGGCTGCCAGCTACAGGCAAGGCCCTGGGACATGTTCAGACTTGAACTGATCATGACCCTGACATCCCACAGGCCCGGCCCCACCCACCTGCTCCAGAGCTGGGGATGGAACCCAGGAGTCCTGGCTCCCAGCCCCCCCCTGCCCTCTACCCGCTAGACCCCACTCCCCTCCCAGAGCCGGGGATAGAACCCCGGCGTCCTGGACCCCACCCCAACCCCACTGTAACCACTAGACCCCACTCCCCCCAGAGCCGGGGATAGAACCCAGGCGTCCTGGACCCCACCCCACCCCCGCTGTAACCACTAGACCCCACTCCCCCCAGAGCCGGGGATAGAATCCCGGCGTCCTGGACCCCACCCCACCCCCGCTCTAACCACTAGACCCCACTCCCCCCAGAGCCAGGGATAGAACCCAGGTGTCCTGGCTCCCTGGGACTCCACCCAGCATCCTCTTTGATGGAGACCCCACATCCACTGGGGGCTGCACCTTCCTCCCACCCCCGCAGGTCTGGCAGGGCTGGTGCTTACCCCTGGTCACGCCTGAGCAACCCAGAACCACCAGCCACAACAGCGTCGTGGGCCCCATGGTCCCCCAGCGCGGTGGGGCCCGGTGGCGGATTTCGGGGGGGCTCAGGGGGTTTTCTGCTCTGCTTGCAAGAGCTGGGAATCAATGCGAGGGGTGACCTCTCGCAGCTAAGCACAGATTAGATTTACTTCCCCGTCCCGTGATGATTTACATCACATACGCAGGCTGGAAATTGCATCACTTTCCCCCCCGCCCCCGGGGCGGGGGGCCAAGTCCAGGCCTGCCTAGAGGAGCAGGCGGGGCCCGGCTCGGCTCCCGGCACTTACAAAACATAAACCACGGTTCAGGAAAAGGGGAAACTGAGGCACAGGGGCGAGCTATTTATCCACTCCAAGAGCTGGGAATAGAACCCAGAAGTCCTGACTTGCCCCTCCCCCAACCACTAGCCCCACTCCTCTTCCAGAGCTGGGGAGAGAACCCAGGAGTCCGGCAGAAGTGCTCCCTCGTCCGTCAGTTCTGTTTATTAGTGAGGCTGAAGAGGTGAGAGACAGAGTCCAGGGACGGCGCAGGATCGTTGCTGGTCGGCCAAGCAGGGGGTTTAACGGAGGCTGCTCGGTATTAACGTCCCCTCCTGTCGAGAGACCCCGGGGCAGCCGCTCTGGGCTGGAGGGAAGTACTGGAGCTAGGTGGGCCCGTGGGTCTGACTTGTGGGGCAGGGGTGGGGGTGGGGAGTGGGGCGGGGATACCAGGCTGGATGGGCCCATGGATCTGATCTGGGGGGGCGGGGATACGGGTGTGGATGGGCCCATGGATCTGATCTAGAGGGGCAGGGATGGGGGTGGGGAGTTGGGCAGGGATACTGGTGTGGATGGGCTCATGGATCTGATCGGGGGGGCGGGGACGGGGGTGGGGAGTGGGGTGGGGATACCGGTGTGGATGGGCCCGTGGATCTGATCTGGGGGGGTGGGGACGGGGGTGGGGAGTGGGGCGGGGATACCAGTGTGGATGCACCCATGGATCTGATCTGGGGGGGCGGGGATGGGGGTGGGGAGTGGGGCGGGGATACCAGTGTGGATGAGCCCATGGATCTGATCTGGGGGGGCGGGGACGGGGGTGGGGAGTGGGGCGGGGATACTGGTGTGGATGGGCCCATGGATCTGATCTGAGGGGGCAGGGCGGGGGTGGGGAGTGGGGCGGGGATACTGGTGTGGATGGGCCCATGGATCTGATCTGAGGGGGCAGGGGCGGGGGTGGGGAGTGGGGTGGGGATACCAGTGTGGATGGGCCCATGGATCTGATCTGAGGGGGCAGGGGCGGGGGTGGGGGTGGGGAGTGGGGTGTGGATACCAGGCTGGATGGGCCCGTGGGTCCGATAGCCCCCACCCGTCCCCCCTGGTGTGTGTGTCCTGCTGTCCCTGTCCCCAGTGACCGGGCAGGAATTTGGGGGGGCTGCAGGTCCAACACAAGCGTCTCCGTCTGTCCCTTGGGCTGCCGGCTCTGCTCCCTGCTGGGCCGTGGGGGGGTCAGCGGGTGGGGGGTCCTGGGGACGAAGCCCAGAAGTCTCCTCAGCAACAGGGGTCTTTAGCCACCACCCCCATCACCCCAACCCCCCAGGGCCCTGCCTGCCCCCACCCCCCTCCGTCGACTCCCCCAGGTTGCCCACCAGACACCCCCCCATTCCAGCCCCTCCCCTCCGGGTGGGGGTGTGTGGGAGGCCTGGCCCCATGGCCTGGGGTGCCCCGCAGGACACCGGGGTTCAATCCCAGTCTCTTGCTCTCCGGAGCCTGGCACTGGGTCTCTGGAGCCCGCCCAGGTCTGGCTCCTGGTTCCCTCGGGTGGGAGCCACGCGCCGGCTGGGCCCAATCCTGGTTTGACCCTGATACCAGCCTCCCCAGGGGAGATGGCCCTATCCAGGGCTCAAGGGCGACCCCCTCTGGTCAAAGGTCTTCAAGGCGCCGTCTGGAGGATCAGTGGGGTCACCCCCCCCACCCCCAGGGACACAGCAGTGAGGTGAGGGGAGCCTCCCATGTGCAAGGTCACCTCGTCTCGAGTCCTCACCTCTTCCAGCTGTACGCGGCTTCGGCCAGAATCAGCACCAGGGCCAGCAGGACCCCGACGGCCAGGGACAGACGGACAATGGCAAACGGGGTATAATCCTGACTTGGGGGGGCCCCTAGAGGGAGGACAGGGGCAGGAGGTGAATGCACCATGCTGGGCAGGGGGGGCTGTGTCCCCCCACCTCCCTATGGGAGAGATGAGCCGTCCCCCCCCAATAACGTCTCTCCTCCCACCCAAATCTATAGAGAGCCAGTTTGATCTGCCAGCCCAGAGACCCCCGTACCTGGCCGCGTGCTACCCGGGCGGGTGGGAGCCGGCGCCACTCCAGGCTGAGTCAGGTCGGATCCCCCTGTGGGGCCAGAACCAGCATCTGTCAGGGGTGAGGCGGGTTAGGGGGAGAAACAGCAAACCCCCCCCCCCCGCCCGTCACTGTCATTCTCAGTGCGGGAGAGTCCGGGGGAGGGATTTTAGTGCCTGGCAATGGTGCCAGCTGGGCATCCCCTGGTGTGGATGCCTTGTGCATCCCCAGAGCTGGGGCGTCCCCCTACGGCTCTGCAGCTCTCCCGGGGGCAGGGATCCCCCCACCCTCCGCCCCGAACCTCCAGCAGCTGGGAACCCCCCAGTGACGCTGCTGGGACGCCGGGCTCAGGGCAGGGCCTGGCTCTGAGCGTCCCCTCGGTGCAGAGCCCCCCCTCCCCTCTGAGGGTCGGGCTGGGGGTGGGAACGGAGATGCCGAACCGGGCCCCTCACCTGCTACCACCAGCTCCACGGGGTCGCTGTGGGGGGAGCTGACGGGCGGCTCCCCCAGGCTCTCGTAGCTGCAGGTGTAGGTGCCCCCGTCCTCCCGCCGGACGTTGGGGATGTGGAATTCGGCTCTCAAGCCGGCCGGCTCCGTGTGCCACCGTGCGACCCCCGCCCGGTACATCTTGAACCGCATGCCCAGCCGGGGCCCGTGGCAGGAGATGGAGACGTCCGTCCCCGGCGCGATCTCCCCGCTGGGGCTGAGGGAGATGGAGGGTTTGGAGAAGTGCACTGGGTTCAGGGAACGAGAGAGAATCGGCATCAGACCCCACGTTTGCGGGGACCCTATAGCCTCGTCCCAGCCCACCTGACCTGCCATCGTCGGGGCGACGTCGTTGCAGAGCCCTAGAGGGCAGGTGTGTGCAGGGGTCTGGACACAGAGAATGGCCGACACCCTGTTTCCTGGCAACTGATGGCCTGGCCCTTCCCCCCTGCCAGGTGAGAGCTAAAGGGTTGGAGAACAAAGGAATCAGGTGCCCTCCTGGCCCGGGAAAGGGACAAAGCCCAGAGGAGGGGGGGCTGAAGGGAGTTTCAGTTTGGGGCTGGCTGGGACATGGAGTGAAGGGCAGACGGGGTTGTCTGGCTCCCTGCCCCCCAAAATGGACCCAGCTGAGGGGTCCTGTTCTCTGCACCTACAAGCTCTGTGTTAGACCATGTTCCTGTCGTCTAATAAACCTTCTGTGTTACTGGCTGGCTGAGAGTCACGTCTGACTGCGGAGTCGGGGGGGCAGGACCCTCTGGCCCCCCCAGGACCCCACCTGGGCGGACTCGCTGGGGGAAGCGCCCGGAGGGGCAGGCGAGGCTGGAGGCTCCGGGGTCAGCCCCAGGAAGGTGGAGCCGGGGGAGCTGTGTGTCCTGCAGACAGGCTGCTCCCGGAGAGGAGACTTCCCCAGGGTCCGGCCTGGCTGTGTGGGGAGCAGATCCAGAGCATGGCCCGGGGACTCCATGACAGCTCCGTCCCTAGCTATTCTGGGGCCCTATGCAGCCCCCCCGGGGGGGGGGGGTCTGGCAGGCCTCTGCGGGGCGGAGCTGGGGGGCTGCACTTCCAGCCGCCGGTGAGTGGAGGCCCGGACCTGCTGCGGAGCTCAGGAGAGTGGGGGTGGAGCAGGGGTGGGGAAGGGGCAGGGGCGGGGCTTTGGGGAAGGGGTGGGGTGGGGGCGGGGCTGGGGCAGAGCAGGGGTGGAGCAGGGGCAGGGCTTTGGGGAAGGGGGTGGGGTGGGGGGCGGGGCTGGGGCAGAGCAGGGGTGGAGCAGGGGCGGGGCTTTGGGGAAGGGGTGGGGTGGGGGCGGGGCTGGGGCAGAGCAGGGGTGGAGCAGGGGCGGGGCTTTGGGGAAGGGGTGGAGTGGGAGCAGGGCAGGGGTGGAGCAGGGGAAGGGGCAGGGGCGGGGCTTTGGGGCCGGGGGAGTGGGGGCAGGGCTGGGGCGGAGCAGGGGCAGGGAAGAGGCAGGGACTGAGCTTTGGGGGTGGGGCGGGGCAGGAAGAGGCGGGGTGGGCGGAGCAGGCTGGGGCTTTGGGGAAGGGGTGGAGCGGGGCGCTGCGGGGGGGAGCACAGCAGGGACGGGGGCCCTGGGGAAGAGGCGAGGCCGGGCCCGGAGCACCAGGCCCCTGCGCAAGGCACCAGGAAATGTGGTGCCCACATTTCCTGGGGCCCCGCAGCTGCGCGCTTTGCATGTGGGCAGCGAGGGCCCCGGCGAGAGGCTTCCCCTCAGGCCGCCCACTTCCCTGGGTCTTGTCTCGCAGGCGGGACGCCCGAGGCGCAGACAACGTGACGTTTATTGGGGTTACTTTCCAAGCCAGCTTATTCTGAAGCCCTTCACACCCGTCGGGCTGATCTCAATTCGCTGACAGAGTCTGTTCCCCCGCGCCCCCTCCCCGGCTCCCACGCCGCAGAGCGTTTACCCCGCGCTCCCTCCCCGGCTCCCACGCCGCAGAGCGTTTACCCCGCGCCCCCTCCCCGGCTCCCACGCCGCAGAGCGTTCCCCGCCCCCTCCCCCCCCACCCGCGTACCCCCCCCCTCCCCCTCCCACCCGCAGTCCCCCGCCCCCTCCCCGCTCCCACCCGCAGCTTACCCCGCCCCCCTCCCCGCTCCCACCCGCAGACGTTACCCCATCCCCCTTCCTGGCTCCCACGCCGCAGAACGTATCCCCCGCGCTCCCTCCCTGGCTCCCACGCCACAGAGCGTTTACCCCGCACCCCCTCCCTGGCTCCCACGCCGCAGAGCCTTTACTCCGCGCCCCCTCCCCGGCTCCCACGCCGCAGAGCGTACCCGTGCCCCCTCCCCTCCCACCCGCGAACGTTACCCGTGCCCCCTCCCCCTCCCACCCGCAGAACGTTTCCCCGCGCTCCCTCCCGCTCCCACCCCGAGTTTCCCCGCCCCCCTCGCCACTCCCACCCGCAGAGCGTTTACCCCGCGCCCCCTCCCCGGCTCCCCACCCGCAGAGCGCCCCCCCCCCTCCCCGCTCCCACCCCAGAGCGTTACCCCCCCCCCCCCCCTCCCACCCCAGCGTTACCCCATCCCCCCTTCCTGCCCCACCCCAGAACGTTCCCCCCGCTCCCTCCCTGCTCCCACCCCAGGCCTTTACTCCGCGCCCCCTCCCCGGCTCCCACGCCGCAGAGCGTTTACCCCGCGCCCCCTCCCCCGGCTCCCACGCCGCAGAGCGTTTACCCCGTGCCCCCCTCCCCCGGCTCCCACGCCGCAGAGCGTTTACCCCGCGCTCCCTCCCTGGCTCCCACACCGCAGAGCGTTTACCCCGCGCCCCCTCCCCGGCTCCCACGCCGCAGAGCGTTTACCCCGTGCCCCCTCCCTGGCTCCCATGCCGCAGAGCGTTTACCCCGCGCTCCCTCCCTGGCTCCCACGCCGCAGAGCGTTTACCCCGCGCCCCCCTCCCCCGGCTCCCACGCCGCAGAGCGTTTACCCCATGCCCCCCTTCCTGGCTCCCACGCCGCAGAACGTTTACCCCGCGCTCCCTCCCCGGCTCCCACGCCGCAGAGAGTTTCCCCCTCGCCCCCCTCGCCAGCTCCCACGCCGCAGAGCGTTTACCCCGTGCCCCCCTTCCTGGCTCCCACGCCGCAGAGCGTTTACCCCGCGCCCCCTCCCTGGCTCCCACGCCGCGCCCCCCCCCCTCCCCCCTGGCTCCCCACCCGCAGAGCGTTTACCCCGCGCTCCCTCCCTGGCTCCCACGCCGCAGGCGTTACGCCGTGCCCCCTCCCCCGGCCCCACGCCGCAGAGCGTTTACCCCGTGCCCCCTCCCTGGCTCCCACGCCGCAGAGCGTTTACCCCGCGCTCCCTCCCTGGCTCCCACGCCGCAGAGCGTTACCCCGCGCCCCCCTCCCCGGCTCCTACGCCGCAGAGCGTTTACGCCGTGCCCCCTCCCCGGCTCCCACGCCGCAGAGCGTTTACCCCGTGCCCCCTCCCTGGCTCCCACGCCGCAGAGCGTTTACCCCGCGCTCCCTCCCTGGCTCCCACGCCGCAGAGCGTTTACCCCGCGCCCCCTCCCCGGCTCCCACGCCGCAGAGCGTTTACGCCGTGCCCCCTCCCCGGCGCCCACGCCGCAGAGCGTTTACCCCGCGCTCCCTCCCTGGCTCCCACGCCGCGGAGCGTTTACCCCGCGCCCCCTCCCTGGCTCCCACGCCGCAGAGCGTTTACCCCGCTCTCCCTCCCTGGCTCCCACGCCGCAGAGCCTTTACTCCGCGCCCCCTTCCTGGCTCCCACGCCGCAGAGCCTTGCCGGTGTCCCTGCTCCCCCTTTCCTGTTCCCATCCCCGACCCCCATCAAACATGATTCCATGTTTGACCCCAGTTGATATCGTAATATTCTCAGCTGCACCTTAACTCACCTTGTACTGAAATTTAACTAACCAATCCTAACATTGTAACATAGTCCTCTAACCAATTAGATCCCACAGCCCTAATCAACTGACACCTATTAAAATTAATTACCTAGCAGACAGAAACCATTAGAGAACCAGACAGATGAACAATAGGAAAGTGTTTCAGAGGTTTTCTCTCCCCCTACCCCACTCTCCTGCTGGTAATAGCTCATCTTAAGTGCTCACTCTCCTTACAATGTGTATGGTAAACATCCATTTTTGCATGGTCTGTGTGTATATAAATCTCCTCACTGTATTTTTCACTTTATGCATCCGATGAAGTGAGCTGTAGCTCACGAAAGCTTATGCTCAAATAAATTGGTTAGTCTCTAAGGTGCCACAAGTCCTCCTTTTCTAATAGGAAAGCCGGGGCCATGAAGATAAAACAGTACAGGAAAGAGGATTTCACAACCCCAGCCATTGAGAAGTGATTTCTGGCCAGACAGGATGCTGGCAAACTAACAGGTTTCAGAGCGGCAGCCGTGTTCGTCTGTATCCGCACAAGGAACCGGAGGACTTGGGGCACCTCAGAGACTAACAAATTTATTAGAGCATAAGCTTTCATGGGCTACAGTTGCATCCGATGAAGTGGGCTGTAGCTCACGAAAGCTTACGCTCCACTAAATTTGTTAGTCTCTAAGGTGCCCCAAGTCCTCCGGTTCTTTTAAAGTTTTCTTTAACCGTCTTTATCCGGTGGTGACGGGCACTATGAGGGCAGGCTCGTCTTCCTGACAGCCCAATGGCATCTTATTTCAGTGTGACGGGTTTGGGATGTGAGGAGGTGACCGCTCGCTTCCCGGCTTATGGCTGCCCCTGCTGCCTAGCCAGAGGCCTCAGCCCAAGATCCAGGCCTCAGGCAGTCCTAGTGAGAGACGATCCATACACAGGCAGACCGTGATTTTGATTCTTTGTTTTATATCTATACCTAGCTAACTGATCAAAAATACACCTAAATTCTGAAAGTATCGGCCTGAATATCTATATCCTAACACCCGTGTCCATTAATTTGGAATAAACTAGGGAAATAAAATAATTTTAAAAATTGTATGTTCGCACGCGATATATTTTGCAATGAAAGAAAGAAATACGTTTTACATGAACGGTTTCATACGTTTTTGAAATCCAACGTGTGTCTCCTTAATTAAAACCAGTTTGACAACATTCGGAAAGGAAATGAACGGTTTTTGAAAGACAGTTTTCGCAAGGCTTTCCTAAACTCTGAAACCGAATAAATAATTCGACTAAAAGCGGCGATAAAACCTTCTTGTTACAAACGAGCGCACGCTGTATTTGAAAATATCACGCCACAAGTGTAATATGGGAAGTGGGGTCAAATGGGTTAGAGCAGAGGGGGCTGGGAGCCAGGATTCCTGGTTCTCTCCCCAGCTCTGGAAGGGGAGTGGGGTCCAGTAGTTAAAGCAGGGGGGCTCGGCGCCCGGACTCCTGGGTTCTCTCCCCAGCTCTGGAAGGGGAGTGGGGTCTAGTGGTTAGAGCGGGGGGGGGCACTGACCCAGGACTCCTGCGTTCTGGTACTAGGCTATAGCAGACACCCCCTCACCTGCTACCACCAGCTCCACGGGGTCGCTGCGGGGGGAGCTGACGGGCGGCTCCCCCAGGCTCTCGTAGCTGCAGGTGTAGGTGCCCCCGTCCTCCCGCCGGACGTTGGGGATGTGGAATTCGGCTGTCAAGCCGGCCGGCTCCATGTGCCACCGTGCGACCCCCGCCCGGTACATCTTGAACCGCATGCCCTGCCGGGGCCCGTGGCAGGAGATGGAGACGTCCGTCCCCGGCGCGATCTCCCCGCTGGGGCTGAGGGAGATGGAGGGCTTGGAGTAGGGGGATTCTGCAGAGGGATGGACACAGGCTGTGAGGCAGAGCGCCCCCTGGAGGGGACAGGTCCCATTCCCCACCCCCCTGAGCCAGCCAGCCCCGGCCCTGGGGCCCACTGCCTGACCATCATCCCCTAACCTCCAATCTACCCCTCCATCCTGTTGCCCCTTTCTTCTGAGACAGGGTGTCCCACCCCTCATCATATCTCCCAGACCCCTCCTTGGACAAAGCTAGTTTCTGCAGGCGACTCACGAGCAGCAGCAAATGGGAGGCGGGTCCAGATGACACCTGTAATGAGAAGTGGGTGTTTGATGCGGGGGACGGGAGACGCGGGGGGGACGACGATGAGATCACATCCTACCCACCCCCGTGTGACATCATCGGGGCCAGAGTCATGTGCCAGCCCATGGGAGTTCGCAGCCATTGCTGGCCAGAGTTTGCAGCCAGCCTGCATCAGAGGTGGGTCGCTACCATGGGTGTTAACTCTGAACCCTAATGATGATGCACCAAATGCTGCGGCTGGCAGCTATTTCCCTGGGGAAAGCAAGAGTTTTAACCCTTGCTCCACTGTGCACCTGCAGCCTGAGGGGGATGCAGAATCTGGGAATCTGGCCCCGGATGCCGGGGTCCGTGCACGAGCTAGGGCTCTCGCTGGGGAATTTGCACCCCACTAGCTGAGGAATCAGGGGTCCGGCTGTTGACTGAGGGTTGCTGTGCCTAGCCCACAATCCACAGGGCTTTGGGTGTGGGCCGGAGAGGGGACGGGGGCCACCGTGGGAAGAGTTGCCCAGCTGGCGGGGGGGAGGCGGTGCTGGGAGGCAGATTCCAACCTGGGGGCATAGACTAGGTTGTTGCGGGGGAAGCGGGGGCAGGACACTGCTTGTGCAATGGGGAGCCACCGCCGGTCTCATGCTGCCAACTTCCCCAAGCACTGGGGGAAGGGACAGTCCAGCAGGCCCCCCCATGTCTGCCCTACCCAGGCACTGTCCTATGGGGGCAGCTAACACAAGGGGCTGGTGGTTGGGGCAGGGTGTGAAGGAGGACAGGGTCTGGTTGTGGGGGGCAGGGTGTGTGTTGGGGGCTGTGGGGGGAGGACTGGGGCTGGTTGTGGGGGGCAGGGTGTGTGTTGGGGGCTGTGGGGGGAGGCTGGGGCTGGTTGGGGGGGGGGGGTGTGTGTTGGGGCTGTGGGGGGGACGTGGGGTGATTGTGGGGGGGGAGGGTGTGTGTTGGGAGCTGTGGGGGGAGGGCGGGGTGGTTGGGGGGCAGGGTGTGTGTTGGGGGCTGTGGGGGGGAGGACAGGGGCTGGTTGTGGGGGGCAGGGTGTGTGTTGGGGGCTTGTGGGGGGAGGACAGGGTCTGGTTGTGGGGGGCAGGGTGTGTGTTGGGGCTGTGGGGGGGGACTGGGGCTGGTTGTGGGGGGCAGGGTGTGTGTTGGGAGCTGTGGGGGGGAGGACCGGGGCTGGTTGGGGGGGCAGGGTGTGTGTTGGGGGCTGTGTGGGGGGGAGGACAGGGGCTGGTTGTGGGGGGCAGGGTGTGTGTTGGGGGCTGTGGGGAGAGGACCGGGGCTGGTTGGGGGGGCAGGGTGTGTGTTGGGGGCTGTGGGGGGAGGACCGGGGCTGATTGTGGGGGGCAGGGTGTGTGTTGGGGCTGTGTGGGGGGAGGACAGGGGCTGGTTGTGGGGGGCAGGGTGTGTGTTGGGGGTTGTGGGGGGAGGACAGGCGCTGGTTGGGGGGGCAGGGTGTTTGTTGGGGCTGTGTGGGGGGAGGACAGGGACTGGTTGTGGGGGGCAGGGTGTGTGTTGGGGGCTGTGGGGGGAGGGTGTGTGTTGGGGCTGTGTGGGGGGAGGACAGGGACTGGTTGTGGGGGCAAGGTGTGTTTGGGAGGCTGTGGGGGGGGGAGGAGACCGGGGCTGGTTGTGGGGGGGCAGGCTGTGTGTGGGTTAGGGGACTCTCCCTGGCTCCCCACTCGCCATGGGGACCTACCAAGGACTCAGGGAGGCTGAGCCAGCCCTGTCCCACCGCCTTGGGGAGGGGAGAAGAGCCCCGAGGGGGGCGCAGGGAGGGGAGAAGAGCCCCGAGGGGGGCACAGGGACCCACTCACCCAGAGCGAGGAGCAGGGCAGGAGAGGGGCCCATGGTGCTGGGGCCCCAGAGGAGCAAGCGACACCTGGGGAGCGACGCACGGTGCAACTGACTCTGGGGAGGAAGTGCCCGGCTCAGTGTCTCAACAGGAAAAATTTTTCCTGGGGCCTCCCACCACCCACAGTCTGGGTTTCACAAGAGCCTCCGGGCGAAGACCGCATGGCAGGGACTGGCTGGCTCAAGGGGGTGGGGGAAGGGGGCACGGGGCGTTTCCCCTCTCGGGGGTGTCAGCTCTGATCTGGCCCCCGGGCAGGGATTAGCAGGATCAGGGGGGCTCTTTAAGCAGGAGTTAAGGGAAACTGAGGCAACTGGGAGACAGACGATTTCGGAGCGCCCAGGGGCAGGCGGTCATGGGTCAGACGCGTCGCTCCAGGCCGATCTGTGGGTCCAGAGGCTGAAGGGGCCAAGATCTCAGGAGTGGGGGGCATCTCATGCAGGGGCTAGAATCTCAGGGTAGGGGGAGCATCTCATGCAGGGGCTAGAATCTCAGGGTAGGGGGAGCATCTCATGCAGGGGCTAGAATCTCAGGGTAGGGGGAGCATCTCATGCAGGGGCCAGCATGGGGGAGCTGAGGGGACTTTATCCTCCGCACACGGTTGAATGGCAGCAAAGCCTCGTTCAGTGAAAAACAGCCCCCACCCCCCCGGGCCCCCTGCAGGGGGGATGCAGAACTGCTCTGCTCTGTGTCCTAGCAGCCGCACTGCTTCCCACAAGTGGTGATTCCCACGTCACCCAAGGGGCCCTTCCGGGGAAGTCGCAAGGGGGGGGGATTAGCTGTGGGGCTCTCCATGTGCCCACGTTATCTGGCCCGAGGAGTCCCGAGGAGGGGAACATCGGGGTCACAGGGTGATGCCCCCCAAATCTCTCGTACAGGCTTCCCCTTTCCCCCCACCCGGCTCACGGCGATGGATCCCCCAGCACAGTGGGGAAGGGACGACCCCATGGAGGGGATGTAAACAGCCGGCGCCCCTCTGCAGCTTTGTCCAGAGTCAGGCCGCGAACCACGGCGTCCTGGCCAATTGACGCCCTTCCCCAGAATGGCTGCAACCCAGCGCGGGGTGACGGGTCCAGGTATAACCAGCCCCCGCGCCCCCCCCATCTCCCCCAGGTGTTACACACATTCCCGACACAGGGGGGCTGTGGGGTGCCCAGGTTGGGCTGGTTTGTGGTTCTGTCTTTATTACAAATCTGGAAATTAACAGGATGCAAAATACCATAAAATCTGTCTCAATGTGTCCCCTCCCCCTCCCAGTGCTGAGCCCCCCACACTTGCCCCCCACACGTGGGTCTGGGTGGGGCAGGGGGACAGCAGCTCAGTGGGATGGGGCCGCAGCAGGGGGAGGGCAGGGTCCCCCCTAAATCTTCCCTAGAAGCAGAGTTCTCGGGGCAGGTGCTGCAGGGGGGGTGAGTCTGTTGTCCCCTGGGGGCCGGCGCCCCATGGCTGCGGGGGGCTCTCACTGCAGGGCCCCCTGGCTCACGTTGATCGCGGCGTACATGCTGGGCTGGGCGGGCTCGGGGGCTGGGGCCAGAGCCCCCCGCTTGGCCTGCAGTGCCTGGCCGTCCAGCTCGGCGTAGGTGACTTCGTCAGCGCCGGGGTCGGGCTCCTGGGACACACAAAGCACAGGGTACACACACAAACAGACACACACACCCCCCATGGGGATCCCGTAAGCCCACCCCCCTTCCAGCAGCCCAACCCCCACCCCAAACCACCGAGTGTGCCAGGAAAGGTGTATGTGTGGGGGGGGGCTGTGAGGGGGCTGCTGGGGCCCATGTGGGGCAAGGTTGGGGGTCAGGCCCCATGGGGGAACAGGGGACACTTACCAGGGTCTGCGGCTCTTTCCCCTTGTTGATAGAGGCGTCTGCAGAACAGAGACACTCGCTGAGCTGCACCCCCGGACGGCCCAGAGCAGGACCCCACACCCAGCTCCGACCCCCCCACCCAGCCAGGGGGCTCAGAGACCGGCACAGCCACCCTCTCCCCCCAACCCACAGCATGGGCCATGGTCATTAGCCCCGAGTGACAGAGAGGAAAACTGAGTCACAAAGATGTCGAGGGGGTTACAGCGGGGGCGGGGGGCTGGGAGTCAGAAGGCCTGGGTTCTCGCCCTGGCTCAGGAGGAGAGTGGGGTCTAGACTAGTGGTTAGAGCAGGGGGCTGGGAGCCAGGAGTGGACGGGGAACTAGAGCGGGAAGGGAGGGTGGCCCCAGGGAGATCCTGGGAGTCCAACACTCTCAGCTGACACTGGCTACCTCTGGGACCCCCTCCTTAGTCCCGCCCAGCAGCAGCTGTAAATCAGACCCTGCCCCATACGGGTGGAGCCCCCACAAAACCCTCTCCTCCCCGGGGTCCTGCCCCACCCTGGTACCCCCTTGGGTGTGTTACTCACAGACGGGGCCTTGCTGAGCCGATGTCTTTAATGCCCCCATAGGGCTGGTGCTAAAAGAGAAAATCCCCTTGTAAACGTCATATCCCCCCACCCGCGGGGAGATTCCTCAACACATCCAGAGAGCGCCCCCAGGCTGCCTCACACTGAACCCAATTCCCTGAGCCCCCCTTGCCCCAACCACCAGACCCCCCCCCCCGCCCTAACCACTAGACTCCACTCCCCTCCCAGAGGCAGATACAGAACCCAGGATTTCTGGTCACCGCCCACTCCCGGCTCTAACCACTAGCCCCACTCCCCTCCCTGAGCCGAGGAGAGAACCCAGGAGTCCTGTGACCCAGGCAAGTGGATCTGGAGCGGGAGGGGCTGGAGTTCCTACCTGCTGGGTCTCGGTGCGGCTCCTTTTCCTGCCGAGGGACACAAACAAGAAACCTCCATGAGCCGATCGGGATCCCCCGGTCTCAGCGCCTGGCCACTCACCCCCCACAGGGCAGCAGGGATGGAGGGTCTGGGGGGGTCCCCTCTGCTGCTGGGGCTGAGCCTGGATCCCTGCTGGGCTGAGCCGGACCAGCAGGGGGCAGCGTAACACTGTAGCATGTGCTGGGGGGAGGGGCAGATTAACTCGCGGGGCGGGGGGGGGGGGGGAAGGGGGCCTTTCCTGTTCCCAATCCTCCCTTGTTAGTGACTCGTGATAACGAACCTGATCCAGGCCAGTCGGCTCCTCTGTCACCCGAGGTACCGGAGAGGCATGGTGCCGGCAGCTCGTTATACAGGGACCCCACGCCCGGCGCTGAGATGCGGCCACCTCTGGGGTGGGACAGCTGCGGTGTACAGAGGTTACACACGCAACAGCGCCCTCTGCTGCGCCCCCCTGCTCCTGGGCTTTCCCGGCACAGTCCCCCATCCAAGCCGTGACCCCATCCCGCCCTGCTTAGAGGCAGGCTTAACCCTTCCCTCGCTGGCGGGGCACTTACTGGCTCGGGTTTTTCTGAAGCAGACGAAGGCCACGAGGAGGGGGAGGAGGAGGAGGACAGCGGCTGCCGCGCTCACCCCGGGGATGATGTGCGAAGTCAGCAACGCTGGTCCTGCGGGAATAGAACCAGGGTCCGTCAGGGCTGGGGGAGGGGCTGAAATAGTGCCTCAGTGGTCGCCCCACCCCCACCCCGCAACTCAGCATCGATCGTCAGGGTCATTCTGGGTGCGGAGAGGGAGATTGTTTGTGGCTGGGGCCGGTGCCGGCTGGGCAGCCCCTGAGCCCCAACTCCTCTGTGCGTCCCCAGAGCAGGGGCAGCCCGGGGAACCATCCCCTGGCAAAAGCCCCCCTGATCTGCAGCTCCCCCTGGGAGCAGGGATCCCCCCTCCCTCAGCCTTGAACCTCCAGCAGCTGCTCCCCAGCCACATGTCCCCACCTCAGCCCAGGGCAGAGCCTGGCTCCGAGCGTGTCCCATCAGTGCGGAGTCCCCCCGAGGATCCGGCTGGGGGTGGGGCTGGGAGCGGGGACACTGAGCCGGGCCCCTCACCTGCTACCACCAGCTGCACGGGGTGGCTGGGCTGCGAGGAGACGAAGGGCTCTGACCGGGGCTGGTAGCTGCAGCCGTAGCTCCCTCCGTGCTGCCGGCCCACGGTGGGGATGTGGAACTCGGCCCCGTCCCCAGCAGGGTCCATGTGTCGCGGCGGGTTCAGGTCTCCAGCCTTGTGCAGGAAGAACCTCACGTCCCGGGGCTGCCCCCGACACCGGATGGTGACGTCTGCCCCTGGGGCGGTGACCCCAGTGGGGCTCAGAGAGATGGAGGGTCTGGGTAAGCTGGGATCTGCGCACAGGAGACAGGCTGTGAGAGTCAAGCCCGCCCAGGGCGCCGGGTGCACACGCGAGCGGCTAGTCCTGCCCGGCCACGGCTCCATTGATATTTTCAGCTCCATCAGAGCTAGCCCGGCTGCCGCCCGCCGGCTCCCGCTGCAGGGCAGACACCCCACAACAGCCCACAGCTCTGGGGTGACCCCAGGTGACGGCTCCCTGCCTCCGGCCCGGCCACAATCAGGGCCAAGCTCGTCTGGGCAGGGGACAGAACTTCCTCCGGGGCCGGACCCAGGCTGCAGGACGAGCTCCCCCAGCACCCAGGGACCCCCCAAACCTCCCCACCTCTGGCTCCAAGGCCAGGCGCCCTCCTCCGGCTGGCCTGCTCCCTTGTTGACCCGGGACAGCACGGACATTGACCCCCTGAAACCGACCCTCCGCGGTGGGCACAGACCTGCCCCGGGGAGGGGACGAGAGAGAACGACCCGCCCGTGACAGCCGGGGCCCCGTCGCTTAACCCTCGACTGGCAGGCGCCCCGACACCGCGGTGACCAGGGCAGCGTCAGACCATGTGCAGGGTAGGAGGCTGCTCCCCCCTGGCTGGGAACCCCCCAGTGACTCCGTCTCCGCTCCCCGGCCTGGCATCCCCTCTGCTGGGCCCAGGGCTCAGGGCAGAGCCTGGCTCTGAGTGGTTCATTGGCGTGGAGCCCCCCCGAGTATCCAGCTGGGTGTGGGGCTGACAGCGGGGACACTGAGCCGGGCCCCTCACCTGCTACCACCAGCTCCACAGGGTCGCTGGGCTCCACCCAGGTCTTCGGATCCGAGTCGGGGGGATAATAGCAGGTGTAGCTGCCTCCCTCTGCCTGGCTTACTTTGGGGATGGGAAATGTGACCCCTGCCCTCACCCCGGCCCCCTCCCCGCTGGGGCTCAGGGTGATGGAGAGTTTGGGGGAGCTGAGATCTGGAGTGGGAGGGAGACGGGGCGTGAGACAGACCCCGGCACGGCCACTGCACCCCATCCCCAGCATGGAGCGTCAGCGACGGGGCAGAGACAGGGTCAGGGTCTCCCCTGGGGTCCAGGCCACCAAGGCACCAGCCCAAGATCTCCTCCCTCCCTCCCTCCCCATCTTTGCGTGGCTGAGATCTCCTCCCCAACCCAACCTTCACTGGCTGGAAGTCCCATCTGCTGGGCACCAGGGCTCGCTGAGACCCCACCCGGGGTTTGGCTGGGGGTGGGGCTGGGAGCCGAGGTGCTGGGCTGGGCCCCTCACCGGTTACGATGATCTGCACAGGGTCGCTGGGCTCCGAGTAGGCAGCTGATCCCGTTGTGTGGCTATAACGACAGGTGTAGCTGCCCCCGTGTTCCCGTCTGGTGCTGGGGATGGGAAATTCAGCCTCAGAGCCAGCAGGGTCCGTGTAATTCACATATTTCTCCTTTCCAGCCTTGTAGAGGAGGATCCTCATGCCCAGGCGCTGATGCCGACACCGGATGGTGACGTTTCCCCCCACGGGGATCACCCCACCGGAGCTGACGGAGATGGACGGTTTGGGGTAGGACCCCTCTGGATTCACAAACAAACAGGCAGTGAGTGGGGGGACACAAACCGCGTCTGTCTGACACAGCAGGGGGGAAGGAGATTTCCAGTCTCGGATTCCTTCAGTTCTCCAGGGTCAATTCAGCCCTGCCCCCGCTGCAGTCAGGAGTGACTCCGGATTGACCCCGGGGGCTGAGATCAGAATCACCCTCCTGTTTCTCTAACTTTGTAGCCCAGCGGCAGCTCTGCTGGGGTTGGGCTGAACATGGATTATTCTTTAAAATATTCTAAAAACCACGTTTCCTCCAATTGTCCGGCAATGTGCTGTACACCGGGGGAGAGGAGGGGGGGGGTGCTGGGATCATGGGACACATTTGGGTCCTTTGAGCAAGAGGCTCCCAGAACAGGCCCCCCAAAAAAGCATGTGTTTGCAAAATCCCCCGGTTGTTCTAACATTTTCCGGCCCATCCCTGGGGCCCAAACTCCGGCTCTGCTCCGGCCCAAACCGCTCTCAGCCGCTGGGGATTTAGCTCTGCTCCGCCCGGTGCTGGGGGCCAATTTGGGGACGGGATATTTCCAACGGGATGTTCCGAACGCCGGGTCGGGCTGAGCCTGACCCACGAGCAAAGCAGTGACAGGTGCGTGTGCAGCAAGCCAAGGGTGAGACACAACGGTGCCTTGCTCCAGTCCCTCTGCGTGTCCCCTTCTTACAGCCCTGCTCCGAGTGACCCGTTCCCCAGGGCTACGGCCAGCTCCCTGGGCACAGTTCGGGGGCGCTGTGGGGTGGCTGGTGCCTTCACTCTGTATTTTCCTGGGGGGCAGAGCTTTGAGTGCAGGCAAATTCTCCCTGTGTGGTGCCCATCCCTGTTAATGAGAGGGGCGAGGTCTCAGTCCCCACCTCTGGGTGTGGGAGGGAGCACAGGTCAGACAGGATCATCCCTTTGGCGGATCTGCGCCCCTCAACCCCCATCCACGTCCCTCATCATTAATGTGGAAATTCCCCCAGCTGCCCCATTCCCCAAAGATACTCACCTCCCGACACCCCACTCTGGCCGACCAGCCAGCAGCCTGGAAAGGAGACGGGCCATTAGGGACCAGATCCTAGAGTGACTGGATCCTACACCCTGGACTCAGATCCCCACATGGGCACACGCCAGGGTCTCGGATCCCCCTTCCCCCATGGGGAACTGTGATGCAGCAGGGAGGGGGGAGTGTTGCCCTGGGAATGTGGTAGGGGAGTTTCACTGGGGATGGGAGACCTGAGAACCTGTCACCTGAGCCAGGAGGGGGAGGGGGAGGTAACTCCTCTGCCCGGGAATGTGGACAGAGGCTGCAGGAGGGAGCCTGCTGGGGCGGGGTTTGGTTTCAGTTTGGGGCTGGGTGGGGGAACGCAGGGAACCCCAGGGCTGGGGTCTGAGCTCCCTGCTCCCCCAGAAGGACTGGACTGAGGGGTCCTGGTTGTACCCACAAGCTCTGTTTTGGACTGTGTTCCTGTTCTCCAATAAACCTTCCGCTTTATTGGCTGGCTGAGAGTCACAGTGAATCCCAGGAAGAGGGGTACAGGCCCCGGACTCCCCCACACTCCGTGACAGGAACATACCCTGGTCTCAGATTCACTCACCCGTAGCCACACGCCCTGGTCTCAGATACCCCCCCATAGGCACACACCCTGGGTGTGTCTGATACTCACCGAGGAAGAGGACGGTGAGAGCAGATGCCATGATGGGGCAGTGGGGGGCCGCTCAGCTCTCCCACCAACACCCCACTGCTGAGCTCCACTGAGCCTGAGACCCGAGTGCGAGCGGAATGAGGAACTGCGCCGGGGGCTGCAGCCCCAGGAAGCCCGTGATGTGCTTGGCCCCTTTCTTCCCATCAGATGGTTCCTCTGCAATCTCCAGCCCAAATCTACCACGGTCAGAGCAAAGCCAGCTCCCTGCAACACCCACCAAACCACATCCCCTCCTGCAGCTGCCTGGTCCCCCCCGCACCCCACATCACCTCCCTGCCCCACGGAGCTGCCCAGTCCGGGGACCAGCTGGGAACAGGGGAATCTCAAGTGGTGCCCAGGCTGCCCTGACCTTTTCCAACAGGCCCGTCTAGCCTCCCTGGAGCCGCAGATCAGAGCAGAGGAGGGATCCCCCCCACACACACACAGTGCCCCCCACGGAGTGACCCTCTCCCGTGGAGCAGGGCAGAGGTTCCTTCCTGACCAGGCTGGGGCCAGTGCCTGCCCTGGAGCATGAGGGTGGAGGGACCTGCCCAACCTCCCTTCCAGGTAGTGGCGCTGCAGACGGGACAGAGGGCTGGGAGTCTGGGGGGTGGTTTTGGGCCCCTGTGAGGTGGGGAGGGACGGATACATTTAGATCCTAAGTTGCTGAAGCAGCAGCTGAAAAATCCATGAAAAGGGGAAGTGTGTCCAGAGCCGGCGCTCACTTTCTGTTTCTGTTACTGCCACTGCCAGTGAAACTCAGCATAAACTTGATTCCCTGGCAGCGACCCTGTAATATACCCCGGCTCTGGGAGGGGACTGGGGTCTAGTGGTTAGAGCAGGAAGGTCCCAGCACTCCCCCCCAAACAATCCCATCTCCCCTAGGTGTGACATACACTCCCGGCGCAGGGAGAGGGGGGCTGTGGCTACCTGGGGGGGCTGGTTTGTGGTTCAGTGTTTATTACAAATCTGGAGACTAACAGGATGCAAAATCACATAAAAGCTGCCTCAATGTGTCCCCTCCCCATCCCGGTGCTGAGCCCTCCCCCAGGTCCCCAAATGTTGTTCTGGGAGGGGAAGGGGGACAGCAGCTCAATGGGATGGGGCTGCAGCGGGGGGAGGGCAGCCTGGGGCATCCCCCCTGTCACGGAGTGTGGGGGAGTCCAGGCCCTGCACCCCTCTTCCTGGGATTCACTGAGACTCTCAGCCAGCCAGTAAAACAGAAGGTTTATTGGACAACAGGAACACAGTCCAAAACAGAGCTTGTGGGTACACCCAGGACCCCTCAGTCGAGTCCTTCTGGGGGAGCAGGGAGCTTAGACCCCAGCCCTGGGGTTCCCTGCGTTCCTCCCCCCAGCCCCAAACTGAAACTAAACCCCCCCAGCAGGCTCCCTGCTGCAGCCTCTGTCCACATTCCTGGCAGAGGTGTTACCTCCCCGCCCCCTCCTGGCTCAGGTGACAGGGTCTCAGGTCTCCCATCCCCAGGGCACATTCCCAGGTCAACACTCCCCCCTCCCTGCTGCCTCACATCCTCACACCCCCTAAATCTTCCCTAGAAGCAGAGTTCTCTGGGGCTGTGGCTGTGGGAGGGTAAGTCTGTCACCCCCTGGGGGCTGGCGCCCCATGGCTACGGGGGGCTCTCACTGCGGGGCCCCCCAGCTCACATTGATCGTGGGGTACATGCTGGGCTGGGCAGGCTCGTGGGGAAGGGCCGGGCTCCCCGGCTTGGCCTGCAGCACCTGGCCGTCCAGCTCGGCGTAAGTGAGTCCATCGGCACCGGGGTCGGGCTCCTGGGGCTGGGAGGGGAGAGAGTCACTGGGGTGTGTGTGAGTGTGTGTGAATCCACCAACACCCCAACACACCCACCCCTGCAATCATAGAAGATCAGGGTTGGAAGAGGCCTCAGGAGGTTCTAGTCCAACCCCCTGCTCAAAGCAGGACCAACTAAATCATCCCAGCCGGGGCGCTGTCAAGCCGGGCCTTAAAAACCTCCAAGGAAGGAGATTCCACCACCTCCCTAGGGAACCCCTTCCAGTGCCTCACCACCCTCCTAGTGACATAGTTTTTGCTAATATCCAACCCGGACCGCCCCCACTGCAACCTGAGACCATCGCTCCTTGTTCTGTCATCTGCCCCCTCTGAGAACAGCCCAGCTCCATCCTCTTTGGACCCCCCTTCAGGGAGTTGAAGGCTGCTATCAAATCCCGCCTCGCTCTTTTCTTCTGCAGACTAAATAACTCCAGTTCCCTCAGCCTCTCCTCGTAAGTCATGGGTTCCAGTCCCCTGATCATTTGCGTTGCCCTCCGCTGGACTCTGTAATCCCAGCTGGCGATCCCACAAGCCTAACCCCCTCCCAGCAGCCCCACCCCAAATCACTGAGTGTGCCAGGTAAAGTGGGTGGGGTTCAATGTGAGGGGGCTTCCTGGGCCTCTGTGGGTCAGGCCCCATGGGGGAACAGGGGACACTTACCAGGGTCTGCGGCTGTTTCCCTTCGTTGATGGAGGTGTCTGTGGAACAGAGACACCCGCTGAGCTGCACCCCTGGCCGGCCCAGAGGAGAAGCCCACACCCAGCTCCAACCCCCCCACATCCATCCAGGGGGCTCAGAGCCCGGCACAGCCACCCCTCCCCTGCCCCACAGCATGGGCCAGGGTCATTAGCCCCATGTTACAGGGAGGGAAGAAAACTGAGGCACAGAGATGGCAGCAGAGTCTACGCAGTTACAGCGGGGGAGCGGGGCTGGGAGCCAGGACTCCACCCAGGCTCTGGGAGGGGAGAGGGGTCTAGTGGTTAGAGCAGGGGGCTGGGAGTCAGGAGTGGATGGGGATTCCCTGCAGGTCACTGGCTGGGAAGGTCCAATGGAGAAGTGAAGGAGAGACACACAAAGCCCCAGGCCTGGGAAGGGAGAACAGGGGGCACACAGAGGAAGACACTGAATTAGTGGGGGAGGCGAGTGTCCCCCAGGGAGCAGATGGGGAGGGAGGCAAGAAGCTCAGCTGACACCAGCTACATCTGGGACCTTCTCCTTAGTCCTGCCCAGCAGCAGCTGTCAATCAGGCCCTGTGCCATCTGGGTGGAGCCCCCACAAGCTCCACCCCTCTCCAGGGATCCTGCCCAGAGGTGAAAG